GCGGGGTGTCCCTGCCCGGCGCGGGGTGTCCCTTCCCGGCGCGGGGTGTCCCTGCCCGGCGCGGGGTGTCCCTTCCCGGCGCGGGGTGTCCCTGCCCGGCGCGGGGTGTCCCTTCCCGGCGCGGGGTGTCCCTGCCCGGCGCGGGGTGTCCCTTCCCGGCGCGGGGTGTCCCTGCCCGGCGCGGGGTGTCCCTTCCCGGCGCGGGGTGTCCCTGCCCGGCGCGGGGTGTCCCTTCCCGGCGCGGGGTGTCCCTGCCCGGCGCGGGGTGTCCCTTCCCGGCGCGGGGTGTCCCTGCCCGGCGCGGGGTGTCCCTTCCCGGCGCGGGGTGTCCCTGCCCGGCGCGGGGTGTCCCTTCCCGGCGCGGGGTGTCCCTGCCCGGCGCGGGGTGTCCCTTCCCGGCGCGGGGTGTCCCTGCCCGGCGCGGGGTGTCCCTTCCCGGCGCGGGGTGTCCCTGCCCGGCGCGGGGTGTCCCTTCCCGGCGCGGGGTGTCCCTGCCCGGCGCGGGGTGTCCCTTCCCGGCGCGGGGTGTCCCTGCCCGGCGCGGGGTGTCCCTGCCCGGTGCGGGGTGTCCCTGCCCGGCGCGGGGTGTCCCTTCCCGGCGCGGGGTGTCCCTGCGGTGCTGAGCTCCCCCCCGTCCTTCTCCCCCAGGTCTACTCTGCTCTCCAGTGGATACAGTTCACCATGGCCATGCTCAGGTACAACGCGCTGCTTAAACCCCCGTCCCCAGGATGGAGTTACTATCGCAGCGACGATTTTCTCCGGAAAAAAAAAAAAAAGAAAAAAAAATCGCTTATCCCAGCGAGGCAGATGTGGTCCGGTTCCAACCTGTGCTTTGTTTTCGCAGTGTTATAGGTTCCAGCTCAATTATTGCCTACGCCGTCTTTCAGAACGCGGTGCGGTCCCCCGAGGTAAGGTCTGGGCCTCCCTTTCCCTCCCCAGGTCGGGGTGTTGGTACCACGCACGTGGGTCACGCCAGTAGCAAAGACCCGCGTGGGTCAGGCGCTCTGCTAGGAGCAGCTGCAGGTCTAAAGTGGTTAAACCTCGTTTAACAACTGGGAGGCAAAGGGCTTGCCAAGAATTTGACCCTTTGTCTGTGATAGGAGTTGAAGGGACTAACCTTCAACTGTACCCACGCAGGGAGATGCAGGTTCCTGAGCTCCACGCTTTGTGCTGCTCAGGGAAACTCCTCCAGTTGTTCCTGGGAATGGGGATTTGTTAGTTCTCTGGGGGGGGGGGCAAAACCCCTGGAGGGCTGAGGAGCTGTGTACAAAGCCACTGAAGTGCAAATTAAGAGATGCCCTTGTAGGAAATGTATTTACAGGTGTCGGTCTTTGGGCGTCTCTGGGTAGTTTTTCCAGGCAGGTGCACCTGAGGCATCTCAAAGATGCTGCAAAGTTCAGACAGCAAGAGGCTGGGCTGAAAAGCCGTTTGTTGTGCCGGGCTCTGCCGTGGGTCTTTGGAAGATTCACCCTGGCTCCACGCAGGAGCCACAGACCTTTCTTAATGCTGAAGAAGCAGGAAACTTCCCTCGGGGTGGGACTGTCCGCACAGATCTGACCTGAGTGCCCGTCCCGAGTGCATCACACGTGCCTGGGGTATATTAGAGGTGCTGAGCTGGCTGGCACAGTAACCCCAGACCTCCATCCCAAACCTGCCAGGCTTTTGCTGGCCACACGCAGTCCCTCTGTCTGTCCAGGACATCCTGGACACGGAGCTGGTCAGGGTGAACCTGGGGTTCCTCGTCCAGAATTTGCAGATATTTGGCAGCCCAGCCTGTGGATCACACAGATAACAGGTTCCCGCTAAGAGCAGCAGGACAGTAGAGCTGGCAGCTGTGTCGTAACAAAGCTGGATTTGTACTTCCCTCGTCTTCAGTGTTCTTTGTACGTCGTGGGTCTGATCTGCAGCCCAGAGAACAGGACTTCTAGGGAACGCTGTGAGTTATCCACAGAGAAGGAAGGTGTGTAGTCAAGCTAACTGACATGATGGATGAAGCAAGGTGGGGAGGAGAACGTGAGTCCAGGCTCGCAGGGGAAATTCTCACCCCTTACAACATGCAGGGCAGTCTTGCTCCCAGGTAAACAGCCTCTTGGAAACGCTCTGCCCGGCACACAGGGAATGGGATGTGGAGATCTCTGTGTGTTTCCCGGGGAGGAATGAAGGCTGGGATTTCACCTTATTGCTGGGATGAAAAAACCTGCCGGAGCTTGTGCTGCACCAGGTGCCTATCAAAGGCTCCCTCTGCCACATCTCCTGCACCTGGAGACCTCCAGAGGAGGTTTTTCTCTCCTAGGGTCCTCCACTCTGGTATGATACAGAGCTGGGTTTGGCAGGTGTCCTGATGTGACTCAGCAGCCTTGGCCCGTTTACTTCCATGGTTAGAAGTCTGCATTACTCAGGAGCCCTTGTGCTGTTAGTCATATGATGTGGCTGTGGCTTGAGAGCTGCTTGGGAGCCACACATGGCTCTGGGGCACAGATGGAGTCTTCCTGCTTGAGGGAGTCCAGCTGCTTTCTGCTCAGATTATTTCTGCAAATCCAGACAGGAGGGATGGATACCAGCTGGAGTGATTTGTCTGCATCAGGCTTCCAGGCTCTTGTTTTGCTGCCAGGGGAGATCTGCTGCTGGTGTTTCAAAAGTGGCAAAATCTTCAGTAACTTCCCCTTTGCCTCGTCCCCGTGTTTCTTCTCTTAAATGGAAATTTGTAAACAAAGGGACTGGAAGAGATCCGTATCAAAGCTTGCCACAAACAGCTTATTCCTTGAGTCATGAGGCTCCAGAGTAAAATGTTTAAAAATAAACAACTCCGGAGGCTGGGAGGAGAACAATGTTATAAACACTTCCCCTCCTGTCCCCAGCCTAGGAAATCAAATATTGCATTCTTGAAGCTTGTTTTCGGTCTCTACAGGGTCAATAAAACTCTTCAGCCTGAGCTGAATCATTCAGAAGAGCTGATGGCAAGCAAGGAACCAAGAATTTCCTCTGTCATGTCAACAGGTTTTGTGCGGGCTGTCCTGGGCAACGGCCAGAGCTAAAGCAACATGTATGCTCCAGCCTGGCAGCGCATCTGAACCATTACATCTTTACGTTCCCTTCCTCTATTTTATAAATACCGTTTGTCTGTTTTTTTCCTTTTTCCTTTTGCAAGTAAGGACCATGCTGCCTTTCACTTACCACTATGTCACTTACTTTCTCTGTTTAGGTCCATGCCAGAATAGTTGCTCGACCAAACAGTGGTGCCTCGCTCCAAGGACACTTGTTGCTAGAGAAAGGGATCACCTGTTCAATTGCAAAAGTTGCTTATTTTGGTGCTGCTTGGTTTTAAAAACCTGCCGTGCTCACAAACTAGATGATATATCCCCAGTCTGTCATGCCTATGGCTGCCTGCGGGGCTTCAACTCACCGTCAAGGAAAAGCCTGGTTAAAAAGACATTTGTAAAGGCGATGACCTACAAAACTGGGGTTATATATATTTTTTATATAAATTATTTTACATGTTAACTAGGTTTTTATATATATTATTTCTATATAACCAGCTATCTAGTTAGAAACAGCAGTTTGATTTACTGTGTTGTTGGGTTGGATGGTACAAATACAGACCTGGAGAGACAAAAATATCTGAGGAGACAAATTCTGCAGAAGGCCCGGGAAGATGTGAGGCAGATCTTCCTCAAACTATTCCTTAAGGACAGATCTGGTTTGATCAGATCTACCTTATCCACTTATCAGTCTTAATAAGCTCTTTGTCATTGCTCACAGGAGCAAGACAAGTATCCCACAACACGATGCATGGCAGACATTTACTTAAAGGACAATATTGAGGCAAATCTCACCAAAAGCTCTGTTCCATGAAAAAAAAAAAAAATCTTAAAATCAAGGTCTCCCGAAGTGTTTCCATGCTGCGTTTAGCATTCTAATTTCTTGTAGGGGGAAAAAAAAAAAAAGCGCCATCATTTTCTCTCCAGGATGCTGAAAATTAGGCACCAAAGACTACAGTTAAGAATCTAGATAATTAGGCTGCTTTTCCAGAGTATCTGCTCTCCCACTAACCACTTAAATGTTGGCCAGGATCTTGCACAAATGTTTTCATACAGTGTTTACAGTCCTTTTGGCCAGTGCATGCAAACTGGAAATGGGCTGGAAACTGCCATTAGAAAAGCGATTCTGTTCCAGCAAGATACGATGCGCAGCGGCGAGAGTCATGGTGAAAATTAATCTGGCATGTAAAATAGATCCAGCCTTAGTCACCAGCTGAAATGACGTGAAACATATAGGAAAAATACTCATTTAAAGTTATTTCTGACCTGAAGGAGGGTTTGTGTTTACCAAAAGTTTGATTTCTCTATCAGTTGATTTAACAAATAACATCACTTCTCCCTGCCGAC